CTATTGATGTTTGATTCGGTTCTGTTTGGCAATTTGGGGTACATAAAATGTCGGGTTTTCTGAATCTTTTATCGAATTTAGAATGTGTGCTATGCTTATTTAACTCCTTTGCAAATGCTTAAAATTAAAATAATTTGTGAAATGCGAGGCTTCTATCACATGGATTGTTCTCTTCAGATTTTAAATGTTTAATTCATATCTTTATAAACATTCAAATAGCATTAAGGAGGTATAATTTGAAAGATAAGGTGAGCTGTAGAAAAGGGATATCCTTTTTTTAGAAAAACGGTTGGTGAAATACTATTACTATTAGCCTCTGTTGTTGTTAAATGTTAAGATCTTCTTGAGAGGGTTTCCCTTAATTTTCTTGGTAGATGACCATGAGAAGAAATGTGTACTAACTCCATTTTGAACATTTGCAGTTTAACATTACAGTTAGTTTTAATGATTTGGGTATTGAAGATAATTGTCTTGTTTAAGAAGAGCATTTAACCTAAGCAGCACTTGAAAACACAAGTTCTAATGTTCTTGCTTCTCTTTTACTTTGGAAATCTGCAATTTTGTGAAATATTAATCAGCATATTATTTCTGTTGGGAACTCCATAATCAAAAGGGTTTATTACTACCCAGAGGTAGATTCTCTCTCTCCAAGTTTATTTTGCAAATGTGTGTATTCATTTTTGCTTTTAAAAACCTAAGCTGAATTAGATAATTTCAGAATCACTTGTAGTTCAGGCTGAGGAAAATTGAGGCTTTTTTCCTTCTTGTTGTGCCTAATGTCTGTTTCACTTACGAACAATTTTTTTGTTGGTAAAAGTTTGTTAAAGACATAGAAATATTGGGATTCAAAATAAAGCAATCTCTGTTCTCTTCAAAATGTGTGTGTAGTGTTAATAAAAGAGCACAAGAAATCTAGAGACATTTATCATTTTTTTGAATGTAAGCAAACTTTGAGGAGAAAGGGAATATTTTATGATTTCATTAACGCGGATATTTTGCTGCATATTAATATATTTCGTTTTCCCCGTGTTTCTTACTTTGTATTGAAGTTACAAATTTAATTTTACAACTGTTGGTTTTTAAATAACATATTCAAACAGCAAGACACTAGAACTGGCTTTTCATTTACCAAGTTAGTATATTGTTTAGGTAGTTAACAAATGGTTAGAAGTTATTTTAAATTCACGACTCTTCTCATGGATTTTCAATGTTAGGACACAAATCAAATTTTCAAATTCTATTTAATGTTTTAAACTTTCTGTTTTAAGACCTTCTCTGAGTCCATATTCATTCTTCCCGGGCTGTCTTTCTAGGCTACTGTATTCTATAGCTTAAGGAAAGCTGCCCTCCCTCCAATCTGACTAAAAGCCCTACAGGCTTATCCTGAAATTAACTCCTGTTTGAGTAGTGAAAAATGAACTAAATATCAATTTATCATTGAATTACTTTGGAAAAGGCATTATTTGCCTCGTTTGCTTTTTAGATACATTTAAAAAGTAGGCGAGAGGCTGGTATATAATGCCAGAAAATTTATACGTATATAGTAAATAGCATAAAATAAGTACGTACATATTTATATGAAGAGATCCAGGTCTCAGTCGTTTGCTGATTTGAGCTTAAAATTCTCAGTTTAAATGTGAAAAGGATATTTCACTTGTGTTTTGTCTAGAAACTTCATCAGTTGCTTCTGCACTGGGGAACTAAGAACTTGGTTCCTGGTGACACTTTTTCAGAAAATCAGCATTCTCAAACCAAAACCGCTTTAGAACCCCTGAACATAATCGTTAGGGGCTGAGGGCAAGAAATTTAGACTCCAAAGTTGGTCCAAGAAGGCGGGCAGTTTAGAGCCCTAGTTTTCTGTCCTGGGGGAAAAGCGATCATTAGCATGGAAGAATGACAGGGACCAGCAGGCGCCGTGCCCCCTCATCGCAATCCCATTGGCCTTGTTGCTGCTTTGAGCTCTCCTGAGGGGGCAATGGCTTGGGTTTAGTGCAAGATAAACCCTTGAGAAAGAGCAGCGGCTCTTCTAGATCCGACTTCACTAGATTTTAGCCTCAGCTTACAAGTGAGATTGCAATACCCTGCTCACTTCTGTGTGGAGACCCCGCCGCTCAGCCTTTGCTTCCTTGTTTGGGGCTGGGGTCTATCCAGGGTCCTGATCGCTATTGTGAGAGCCGGGGAGGAGCCTCCGCTTCTTTACACGGTTGTGTGTATGTTTGGTGGGAAGTGCGCCAACAGTTCCTATATCCCCTTACTGACAGACTTGGATACAGGGGAGGGAGTGCAGAAAAATCAGCACTAAAAGGGTACTACACGGTACTGGCGGATGCCCCCCAAACTAAGAGAGCCCAAAGCCTGGATTTCTACCTCTGAATGGGTCTTCCCTTCAGGGAATCATTTTGGGGACGACTGGACAGGTGGGTAGGTCTGGAGCTGGCTCACAGGACTACCCCAGTTTGCTATTTGGTCGCCAGCGTGTTTTGCCCTGTTTCTTCCTCTTTAACGGGAGTAGCAAATGTCAGCCCAGAACTGAAGTAGCTAATGCTGGGTAGAATGGGGCCCCTGCTAAGAGAAAAAGGAAGCTGTGAATACTCAGCAGGCAGGTTTGCCCAGGATATGAAGGGATATTTTAGGGAGCTTTGATAGCTCAGGTATTGACAAGGCGTATGCCCTAGACTGGTCTGGGTTTCTTGATCATTAGTCCTCTATTTACCCCTCTCTTTTTCAGGAAGCTTGGGCAACTGTACTCAGCTATCTCTGAGCTAAGAGTGAGGGAGGCAAGTCTCCTTACTTTGCCGGGCGGGGATGGGGGATGTTCAATAAGATTGGAACCCACAGATGGGATAGGCATACTCTTCTCAGGATGGCGGCAGCAATCTAAGAAAGTCAGGAATTGGGCTGTGAGGTCTGTATCCTCTGAGCCTCCAGCAGAAGGTGATGGGGAGAGTGCAGGGGCATTGGCAGGGGGTCCCCTGAAGATAGGCCTAGCTTTTCCACATTTGCTAGGACTGCAGACTGCAGTGAGGGAGTATGAGCATTCGCTATATATTTGGAAGAAGAAAAATAGGCCCTAGATTATGCCTCAAATCTAGGAAGAGAGAAATCAATTATTTCTGAAGTGAGAGACACCCCCTTTAGCTGTCACTGTCCAAAGACTCATTGGTTAACTAATGATCGGTAACCTAACTTTCTGCCCAAAAAACAGCGATCATTTACTTCTTAAGAGGTGGGGGCTCTCCTTGACACTTAGGAGTTTCTGGGAGGAGGGGTAAAAGGGACGAGTGAACCTGCGTTAATGAATCCCGTAAGGAACTGCGTTTCCCAGGAAATTCCTGGCATTTTTAGCTCGTGAATATCCTAAAGGCTGCTTGGTTTTCTCCTCCATTCTGGGTCCTTCCAGAGAGGAAGAAGAGTGGGCTAGGGGCTGAAGGCTCAGCAGGGCCTGATTCCATCCGCAGAGCTGGCCAGCAACCCAAGCTGGGCTCAGCCCTGAGCTGGGTGCCCCCCTTCCCCAAATCTCAGAAGGAGGAGGGGGTGGCAGGCAGGCAGTCGTGGTCCCAAAAGAGGCTAATTGAAGGTTTTTGGGTGAGTGTGGGGTTTCTTTTTGATTGTTGCTTGGGGGGGAGGGCAGAGCCAACGGGAACAGGCACTGCGGGCACCCCGGCCCTGGTGCGGCTGCCGTCCTCTGCTCAGCTCCCCCCCGCCGGTGAGTGCGCCCGCCCGACTGTGCGGGGCTGCGGTTGGGGGGAGGGGGGAGCGGGATCATCTGAGGCCAGAGCCGCTGCGCGGGGAGGGGGAGCGGCGGGAGCAAGGGGAGGGACGGGCTAGGTGTCTGCTGCTCCGCGCCACTGCTGCCGGCGCCCCGACCTCATCCCTGGCAGCCCCTTCTGCAGCTAAGGGTTACTGCCGCACCACCTCGTCTTCTTCGCCCGCTTTGGCGGCTGGGGCTCTGCGGTAGGAGACAGTCCAGCCGGGCTGTGTGTGGGCCGGTCTGGGTTTGGGTCTGGCTGGGGCCCACAGAGGAGGGGGTGGCCGTGACTCAGTGTCCCTCTCTGCAGCTGGCTCAGCTGCGCTGCGCAGGCCCTTGCCACCACATCCTCTCTTTGGGGTCACTGGAAAGCAGAGCTCAGGCCCGCTCCCTGTGCTTAGTATGGCAGTCCTCTCTTCTCACCCCTAGTCCCCCAACTCCCCGGGCCGAAGCTGCCCGGGGTCTGGCCAACAGCGACAGCCACTGTGGTGGCGGCGGCAGCAGCTGCGACGCGGCGCGTCCTGCCACCCTCCCCCCGCCCCCCCAGCCAGGGTGTGGGGTGA